GGAGGAGAGCGTTGGCAGGAAGGAGGGGACACCCAAGGCACAGATCACAGAGGCCGGTGGATGAGGTCTGGGAAAGGTCTTTGGATTCAGAGTCACAGAGGTCACTGGTGAGCCTAATGAGGGCATGTTGGCAGCACAGTGGGGCAGAGCGGGTTTAGCACTCTGTGTGTGTGTGTGTGTGTGTGTGTGTGTGTGTGATGGAGGCAGAGGAAATGGGAAGGTGGGGATGAGAACCTAGCAACTGTTGTAAAGGAAGCTGCTATGAGGACCCAGGAGAGAGGGAAAGGTTGATGAGACAGGAGAAGCGGGGGTACCTGCTGGTGCTTGAGGCTCTCAAGAAGATGGGGGGCCATGGGAACAGGCCGGGGGCTGCTCTCAGAGAGCAGGAGAGGCTCCCGACTGTACTGGGGGGGAAGGGAGGGAGTGCAGGTGCAGACGTAGGGGCCGACAGGGACAAGTGTAATTGTTCTCAGGGGAAACCAAGGGAACTTCTGATGGAAGGAAGGCGGCCCCCCCAGGGAGCCAGAGCACTGGGTGGGGCTGTCAGGGTGGGTGTTTGAGTCCAGCAAAGTTGGGAGGGCCTTGATTAGAGCGGGGAAGCAAACTGGCCAGAGGCGTGAGGAGCCCACTGAGGTTGGTGACCGTGAAGGCCAATGGAGACCCATCCACAATGCCGTTTTCTCTAGAGAACTTGGCACAGAGAAACCAGGTATTGAGTTCCTTCAAGGCTGGGGCTTCACTGGGCAGAAGTGACCCGAGGGCAGGGGGGCAAGGCCATGTCCTGGAGGTTGCCTTGATGTCTCGCGGACTTGCTGTTCTCAACACGTTCCAAATCCGTTGTCTCTGTCCTCTTACCCAAGTCTGCTCTTCTTTCTGGACTCCCTGTCTTGTTTAATAACAACATAAAGGGCAGGCTTTGTGGCGCAGTGGACTAAGCTGCCACTTGGGACACCCCCATCCCATATCGGAGTGCTGGTTTGAGTTCCAGCACCTCTGCTTTGAATCTGGCTTCCAGTGAATGCATTCTGGGGGGCAGCAGATGATGGCTAAAGTGCTCGGCCCCCTGCTACCCCTGTGGGAGACTGGGGTGGAGTTCCAGGCTCCTGGTATCAGTTTCTTCCAGCCCTGGTTGTTACAGGTATTTGAGGAGTGAACCAGCAGATCGGAAATCTCTCTCTCTTTCAAGTATATGAAAATAAGTCAGTAAATATTAAAAAATAAATAGCATCTAATAATACCACTAATATCAGTCATTTAGTTAGCCCATGTTATGTAAGACATGGTACCAGATATCAGAAAAGAATCCTCCTCTGATCATAACAACAGAAGGGGTATATATGTTACCCATTGTACAGATGTGGAAACTGAGGTCCAGAGAGGTTATGTAACTTGCCCAATATCTCCAGGAAATGGGGCCGGCGCCACGGCTCACTAGGCTAATCCTCCCCCTAGCGGCGCCGGCACACCGGGTTCTAGTCCTGGTCGGGGCGCCAGATTCTGTCCCGGTTGCCCCTCTTCCAGGCCAGCTCTCTGCTGTGGCCCGGGAAGGCAGTGGAGGATGGCCCAAGTGCTTGGGCCCTGCACCCCATGGGAGACCAGGAGAAGCACCTGGCTCCTGCCATCGGATCAGCCGCAGTGCGCCAACCGTGGCGGCCATCTCACTGTCCACTCTGCCTGTCAAAAAAAAAATTAAAAAAAAAAAAAGATCTCCAGGAAATGGCCATCAGGATGAAAACTCAGGTGTGTCAGGCTCCAAAGCCTACCCCCTTCCCATCACCACACCACTTCAAGCTTCCCTGCCTTAAAGCAACCTGTCTCTGACCTTCTCCTGTACCACGTCAGCTGTCACATTCTGCTTGTTCACCTCCATCATGGTTTCTGCGTCCCTGGCTCCTTCCTGCCATGCCTCTCCACCTCGGGCTGCTTCCTAGTCTGGTCCCAGCACAATGAAAGCTCCCTCAGGCCGGGGTCCACAGCTGTCTCGCTTTCTGCTGTGTCTCAGGGCTTACACTGTCACGTAAGCACCAGGCTCGCCAGATGCTTATTGCGTGAAAGGATCCTTGTGTACAGGAGAGGATTCTCTGTGCTGTCTTGTCTTTTTTTCTTTTTATTTTTCTTTTGACAGGCAGAGTTAGACAGACAGAGTTAGTGAGAGAGAGACACAGAGTCAGAGAGAAAGGTCTTCTTTCTGCTGGTTCACCCCCCAAATGGCCGCCACGCCGAGCGAGCCGAAGCCAGGAGCCAGGTGCTTCTCCTGGTCTCCCATGGGGTGCAGGGCCCAAGCACTTGGGCCATCCTCCACTGCACTCCCAGGCCACAGCAGAGAGCTGGCCTGGAAGAGGGGCAACCAGGACAGAACCGGCGCCTCGACCAGGACTAGAACCCGGAGTACCGGCGCCACAGGTAGAGGATTAGCCTAGTGAGCTCCGGCGCCAGCCGCTGTCTTGCCTTTCTGCCAGCGCTGTGGGCAGGGGCACGGAAGCTTCCTGTTTCGAACTCTCCTTTGGAGACATAGGCATAGCGATCAGCCTTGGAAGGTGGAGACAGCGCCTCCCTCTGGTGGAGGGCAGTTTCGTTAGCTGTGCATTGTAGTAAAGGTACCGCCTACAGCAAACGCTGGGCAGTTTTTCTTGCAGCGCTTTGTAAAAGGTTAAAGGTTGGGGTTTCCTGAGCCTGGAAGTCCCAAGTTGTGACACGTAGTGTCACCCAGGTCCAGCCCCATTTACACCTCCGCCTTGGATCTTATGAACCTCATGCTGCCTGCTGTGTGATGGGTGATAGAAGTTCTCTGTCTCTGGCCTGGGAGTCTCCTGTCTTCTGCCAGCGTCCATGAACGCGTGGCAGACTAACTTGTTAAACTGCAAGGGAAAAGTCCCAGCCCGTGCGGAGATCTCAGAGACTTTCACCAGGACAGCTGAGATGGCCTCTACCTCCTGTTCCCCACAAGCACCTGCCTCTGGTGCAAGGCTTCCCTTGCTATCCCTCAGAGCAGAGAGAGATCACTCCAGATTCCCCAGCCGGCCTCAAGGCCCTGGCAGGAGGTGCCAGCTCCTCACCACCTCCTCTCATCACCTCCAGAGCTGTACTTCTCCTCCAATCTCTTGCATCTGTGCCCTTACCATGCTGTCCCCCGCCCAGGGCCTTCCTTGTCCCTTTCTCTCTGTGCATCCTGAGAGGCCGGTGTCCTCCCAGATGCTTGTCCAGAGCCCAGTGACAATGTCCCTCTCTGTCCCTTCCGCCTACTTGTGACTGCCTGGGCGAAGGCGGCTCTGCCTCTCCCAGAGTGTCTGCTCCTCCCTCCCCATGACCTGGCATACAGCAGGAGCTCCACAGAGGAGTGGAGCCACACAAGGCATGGTCTTGCAGGATGCTAGAGTTGGGGGGACAGCACAGTGGACAAGCCACCCCACGCAAGGGCACAGAGAGAACAAACGCGAGCATGCGGCACATCTAGGGCAGGGCGAGTAACCACTTTGGGTGGCACCGCGAGCATGAAGGAGGCCCCAAGAGCTGAGTTCGAAAAGAGGCAAGGTCCAGGACTCGGAGAGCCTTGGCTACTGGGGCCCCAGCCCCTCTGAGGCTGGAACCCTGGTGAGGACTCCCGGGTCTGGGTGCCCTCCCCGGAAGCCTCAAGAAGCTGTGTCCCCTGCAACGCCCTCCCCCGCTGCCCGTCCCCCGCTCCTTCCCCGCCTGCGTCGGCCATCAGAGCCTCGCTCACTGCCCGAGAGCCTCGCATTGACGCGGGCCCGCGCGTGAGTCAAGCCTGCGTCACGGCGCCCCGCCGCCAGGGTGGCCTTTCGGAAAGCGAGGGAACAGTGCGCGCCGCGCTCCGCCCAGCTCCGTTCCGCTCCGCAGAGCCGGCGCGACTAGGGCGCAGGGAGGGCAGCGCTCGGCGCGGGCCTTCTCAGCCGCGGGACCAGGGTCCCCGGGCCGCTCCTCAGAGCCCGGAGCGCGCGGCGCGGCGGGCTGGGAGCCGGTTCGGGACTGGCAGCGAAGGAACGACCTAGGAAGAAGAGGAGTGGCGTGCGCCGGCGCGCGGCACCAGGTCCCCCCCTCCAACAACAACAACCTCGGCCGGGGCCTGCCACTGCCAATTCGGACTGCCGTAGGACGGGCTGTGCGCCCTCGACCCGTCGGGAACCGCAGCCACTCGGCCGGAGCGCAGGGACCGAGTTCGCGCGGCGGCCCACGACGCCGGACAGGTGAGTCGCCGGCCGCGCCCCGCCCGGTTCTACTGGGCCAGCCGCCGCAACTTTGCCTGTTCCGGCCCCGCCCCAGCCAGGGAGGCCTAAGGACCGAGGTTCGAGGCGACGCTGCCCTGGTATCCGCCCGATCCTACAAGGGTTCGGGGCTCCTCCCGCCGCCCAACCTCTGTTGCTTGGCGACGAAGCGGGGTGGGGAGGGGCCGGGCGCTCCTCCGGCGCATCCCGGGTTCCCTGCGGCTTTTGCACGGGCTGGACACCTGGTTTCAGCTTCTGGGGCTCAGGAGGGCCCGAGAACTCTGGAGGTAACCGGGCAGAGCCGCCAAGGCAAGCGCCCGCGGAGGCCCTCCGGATTCGACTCGCGGTCTGGAGCAGCGCGCCCAGGGCGCAATTCCCCCGGGAGGATCCTGCACGACTGGGGACCCTAGACCCAGCCGCTCTGCTTCAGGCCCGTGACCTTGACAGTAACATTGGCAAGAGAAGCAGAGCGCTCACGCCCGAGATGAAGGTTTAATTCCCAGTCCTGGGGCTAGTCCTCACCGAATTCAGAGCTGGAGAGGAACTCTTCCACCCTCTAGGGAAGCGCGTCTAGGAACGGGGATAGCAAAGAGAGGGGACGGCGTGCACAGGGTGTGAATCCGGAGGTGGCACCTCTCAGGGACAGTGGCTTCTGCCACATTTATACCTGTGCGCGCCTGCCCGAGCTCTGAAGCGATGCTCGCTGTTCACGGGGGAGGGCAGCTCCCCCAGGGGCCCAGCCGCCCTGGAAGGAAGCCTGGTGTTTCCTTTTAAAGCCCCAACAGCCCTGTCAGGGCTCCAAGTTCAGAAATCCCGAGGTCACCTTACAGGACATGACTGCTGTCAAGTGGGATTTTCTTAAAGGTTTGATCCCATTCCTTTTTTCCTTTTTTATTTCTTTGATAAATATTTAAGCAGGCTTTTTTTGGGGGGGGGGGAGAGGACGATTAGGAAATTTCTACCCAGAGCTACCTTTGGGGCAAGTCAGCTGTGAACGAGAGGCAGGTAGAGTCGGACTGGAGAAATGGAGGAGTGGGGTAGAGAAGGAAGATGCTTCGGGAGGCGCTGCCTGTGTTAACAGGAACTTTCGGGAACTAATAGAATCCTGTAATGGTTCCCAGCAAATGCAAGCAAGACTTGACTGAGAGTCTGTTAGGCTGTGCCGCCCGGCTGATGGGCATCTGGGGACAAGTCCAAGTGTGCTGAGGTCAGCAGCTGGGGCATCCTGTGTCTCGCACTGGGCCCATCTCCTGGGCAGCAAGGGCTCCGAGGTCATACCTGAATGCCCTTGGCCGTGGCCCATCTGTGGGGACGGGCAGAGGCTTGAGCTCCTCTGCTGGCTTTTTCCTCTAATGGAGCAGCTGTGGCTAAGTAGGTGGTTGAGTTTCAGCGCTCTGTGCAGCCCGGCTGGAGGTGACTCAGTGCAGGAGGCAGATCGTGCCCACCGGCTCTGATTGGAGTGAGTTTGCTTGGCGCTGAGTCACGTGCAGAGTCGTGCGTCGGCTTTCTGAATGGAGTGCTTTAGTAGGACGCGTGGGCAGGAACGACCTGAGCCCCAAGTGTTTGGGGGCCGCTGACCAGAGGTGGGCAATCTTGAGAGCGAGCCAAGCAGAGCTCAGGCTGCCTGGCTGCTGGGTACGGGTTCTAGAGCTCCGGTCCCCCTGAGGAGAGTGAGCAGGACAGGCTGGGGGCAGGAGGGGCACTGACGTGGAGGCTGGGAAGATGCCTTTTGGCTGTGGTCTCAGCTGGGCCCAGTGTCTGTCTTGGGCTTGCAGGGTGACCTTGGGTGTTGCCTCACCCCCTGGGGGCTCCATTTCCTTGACTGCAGAATAGGAGCATCTATGGTACCTTTTCTGCAGGCTCATTCTTTAAATTCATTAATTTGAGAGGCAAAGAAACACAGATACCATCTGCTCCCCAAATGCCAGCGATGGTTGAGGGGCTGAAGCCAGAAGCCAGGAACTCAATCGAGATTTCCCACAGGGGTGTCAGGAACCCAAGCACACAGCCATTCCCTGCTGCCTCCCAGGGTTTGCATTAGCAGGGAGCTGGAGTCAGCAGCCAGAGCTGGATATCGAACCCAGGCCACTCTATTGATATGAAACATGGGCAGCTTAATGCTGTCTTAACCACCAGGCCAAAGGGCTGCTCCTGCAAGCTCGCTTTGAGCCCAGGACCTGTAGCAGGTGCTCATTAGGTGTTAGTTCCCTGCCTCTTCTGTATGGGCCTGATGCAGAGGCAATTCTTTGTCTCCCTGAACCTTCTCCTGGGGTACCAGGGGGGTGTGGAGACAAAGGAAGGTGATGGGGCTTCCCAGGTAGTGAAAGTGGATCCATAGCCCAGCTTCAGAGGAGCCCATGCCCAGCCCTCAGGTCTCCCTGTGAGACCCTGAATGGAGAAGCCATGGTGAGAGCAGGGCTAGTGTTCCAGGTGGGGTCTGGCTGTGCTGGGTGCCCACAGCTACCTGCAGTAGCTCTAGGTGAGGCTGCGGCACAGACCCTGACTCCTTGGGATTGCTCATGACCATGGCACCTGCTGGGTCCCTTCCCTGTGATCAGGTCTTGTTGCCTTGCTCCCTGCCCATCCTATCCACAAAAGAGTTGGAAGCTGCAAGAGGAGTGTCCAGGTAGGGTGAGGCCAGCCCTTCCCGGAGAAGACAGTAGGGAGCATGTGTGCTGCTTGCTTGAAGACCCCGAGCCCCTTGCTCTCTGCTCTGCATTGTGTGTGGACACAATGCTGGGCTCAGATATCGGGGTCTCCAGAGTGCAGGAAATGAGGGGGTCTCCAATGCTACAAGAAAGAGGCCACACACTGGCTCAGGTTGGCTGTGTGTGTGTGTGTGTGTGTGTGTGTGTGTTGCATTCACCATTCACCCTGGAATGGATGCCCTCCCCAGCTGTGCCTGGGAGCACAGTCCAAGGATGATGGAGACACAGATGAGCGGACGCCGGAGAAGCAGAGCCCTTCTGCCTGTGCACTGTCCCCCACCCGGTACGCCTTTCCGTCCAGTTTCACCGCGGCAGGGCCATTTGTCATAAATCCCCTTAAAGCTGCTAAGTTAAGCTGCAGAAGGGTTTAAAGGGAAGAGAGACTTGAGTATCATTTCCTGGAACCAGGTCTACATTATCATTCACTCCCAGATGAGGCTGCAAGAAGTCCCGCAACCCAACAGCTGGAACTCCAAGTCAGGCCGGCAAGCCAGTGCCGTGGGTAGACGTGGATCCCGGAGCAGGGCAGTGTTGGTGGGGAAAGCCCGTTTCTCCCACTTTCCCTGGGAGACCTGTGCAGTTCTGGATTCCAGCAGCTCACACCATGCTTGGTGCTCGGTGATAACCTGCAGCTTTGTATGGAAGGCCGTGCGAGGTGCTTTATTCACGGGCCATCTTGTTTAATCCTCACCACAACCCCAGGAGGCAGCTATCGCCATCTGTAGCAGTAGGTGTGGAGTTGGTGGTTCAGATGTGCAGTTTATAACTGTGCAGATTGAAGTTCAGAGAAGTTAAGTAACTTGCTGAAGGCCACACAGGCAGTGGGTAGCAAGTTGCGAATCAGAACTCAGTCCTGCCAGATGCCCAGCTTCATGATCATGGCTGCTGTGGGATTTTTTTTTTTTTTTAAGATTTATCTATTTGAAAGGCAGAGCTACAGAGAGGCAGAGTTACAGAGAGAGAGAGAGAGAGAGAGAGAGAGAGAGAGAAAGATCTTCCATCTGCTTGTTCACTCCCCAGATGGCTGCAACGGCCAGAGCTGCGCCGATCCGAAGCCAGGAGCCAGGAGCTTCCTCCGGGTCCCCCATGCAGGTGCAGGGGTCCAAGGATCCAGGCCATCCTCTACCACCCTCCCAGGCCATAGCAGAGAGCTGGATTGGAAGTGGAGCAGCCAGGACTTGATCTGGTGCCCACATGGGATGCTGACATTGAAGGCGGTGGCTCTACCCACTACGCCACAGCACTGGCCCCACTGTGTGATATGTTTCTGTAATAAGTTCTTAATGAATCTCTGCTGCTGGTCTAGGCACTTACACAAATGAAGCTGTCTGAACCTGCAGGTCCTGCTCTTTAAGCCAGTGGCCTGGGAACAGGGAGGGGGGGCTCTATGACTGAGAAACTGGTAGAAAATGAACTCAGCCATGTTGCCAAGGTTTGGGGAATGTGTTTGGTTCCAGTTGGGCTGGGATCTGGAAGAAGAGCCCAAGCCCCATCTTAGCGCTGTGTTGTCCTGCCCTGGCCTTTCTCTTCCTGACCCCTGCCACCTCTGACCTCGTGTTCTGAAAGTTTGTCCTGGTCAGGGGCTGGGGCCTGGGGCCGCGAGAGGAGTCTCAGCACAGGTTGGTGTTGCCCCGAGAATTTCCACGTCTGCAGACTCGAGGACGGCCCGTTGCAGGTGGTGGTGGCCATGCTGCTGTGTCAGGTTTCTCTGCTGAGAGGGCGAGCCAGGATTTGCCGCAGGTTCTGGGGAGGCCCCAGGCCCCAGAGCAAAGCTGCCATTCCTTGCAGGCGATGCACGGCCGCTGCTGGTAGGGCCGCTTGGAGGGCTGCTGCCTGCTCCCTGGGCCTGTCCCGTGGAGAGCCCGCCTGCTCCCCTCCTGGGCACTGCCACTTGTGTTCGAGGCTGCTCTGGGAACCCTGGTGTCTGATTCTTCCTGCTTCTCTGGCTCTTCTTTCTCTGAGACATCCTCCTCCCCGAGGAACAGGCCCATGCTGTCCTCGCCTGCCTGCCAGCTCCAAGCCACCCCAGAACTCAGTGGGGGAGTTCCTGCAAGTGGGGGAGGATGACTGGAAAGCAACACCAATGCTCCCACTCCCAGCGGGCCGAGAGGCCTTCCCAGAAGCCCTTGCTCCACGAGCAGCCATTTTGTGCATAATTCTCTGATAATTCTCTCCCTTTATTTCCTCCCATGAGTAAAAAATTTATTAAAGCATTGTTAATCTATGGGAAAATCCAGTTATTTTAAAATATATAATTAGGTATTTACTGTGCAG